CAGAAAGGGCATCATTGTTTTTTGACTAAGATAAAGTATATAATCCAAAAATATATAAAGAAGAAAGTGAAGAGCCCCTGAAGTCCCATCACCCCAAAGTCGACACCTCACCCTGTCCCGACCACCTGTGCCCATGGGTGCATAGCCAGGTTCTTGAGCGAAGTGGATTCACGAGGGGGCAAAGACCAGCTTCGTTCCCACTCACCTTCCCCAGGTGAATTCTTTCAGGCGTGCTGATGACATCTCAGGCAGACCTTGTGGGCTACTATGCCTTCCAGTGACAGGAATAGTCACATTTGATTAATTTCCTAAACTGCAGACTTCATTCAGTGCAGACCTTCCCCTTGCTCCCCGCCGGGGCCTGTGTCAGGCTTGGCTGCTGTTTCCCTAGCTCGCTCTTCTGCCTCTTCCCATGCAGGCCCCTGGTGGCTTTTTCTGAGCCCAGGGAAGGGCAAGAGTGGGAAGGGGGTGCAGATGTGCTGGGGTAGCTGGCCCTCAGGGCAGTGCCCTCTGGCAGGGGCAGGTGGATCGTGCTGCCTCTTGGGGGAGCACTTTTCCGGGTCTCCACGAGCTCCGCTTGCTGTGCTGCACCCCACAGCTTCCTGGTGAGGGACTGGGCACTGCAGCTCCTCGCGCCCCAACGTCCCAAGACTCTGACTGGTCCGCCTCCCACACACCTCTGCTCGTTGTCCTCGTCCCCTCCTGGCGGCCTTTTCTGTGGAATCCCATCTGGAATGAGTTCTAGGCTGGTTTCCTCCCATGGGTCTATTTGCCGTAGGAAAATGTGGCAAATGCTGTGGGTGCTGGCACATCCGACCCCAAGGTGGCCCTCTCCTTGCTCTTCCATCTTGTGCTAAAACTCTAGGGGACACGTGTCACCTCTGCAGGTCGTCCCCTTGACATCCCTTCTCATGCTGGAAGGGACACACCATCCTCCCCGGCAGCCCACCAACCTCAGCCCAAGTGCCGACTGGAGGGAGGGGCCTGGCCGGTGCTGGAGACACACGACAATCCATCAGCCTGTCCTGCACAGGGGTCTGGACTGGGCTACTCAGCCTTTAGAGTCTTGTTCTCAGCCATGGGCCTTTTACGTTTAACTTAAAACAGGACGCGTGTTTTCAGTTTACTTTTTCCCAGTCACTGATACGTAATAGGCATCTTTCAGCGCCAGAACAAGGGATTGCCTCCTCCTCTCTCGTGGCCATGTGGGGCTTTGCCTTGGATGAGCATCACGCACTGATGGGGGATTTATGCTGTGTCGTTTTCCACACCTGTGAACCGTGCGTGGAGCTCCATCGTATTTGTGTCTTTACACGCTTACATGGCCATCTTTCTTTTTTTTTTTGTGGAGACGGAGTCTAACTCTGTCGCTCAGGCTGGAGTGCAGTGAGTCAGGCTGGAGTGAGTCAGGCTGGAGTGAGTCACTGCAACCTCTGCCTCCCAGGCTCAAGGAATTCTCCTGCCTCAGCCTCCCGAGTAGCTGGGATTACAGATGCCCACCACCATGACCAGCTAATTTTTGTATTTTAGTAGAGAGGGAGTTTTACCATGTTGGCCAGGCTGGTCTTGAACTCCTGACCTCAGTTTTACCATCTGCCTCAGCCTCCCAAAGCGCTGGGATTACAGGCGTGAGCCACCATGCCCAGCCATCTCTTTAGGATAAATTCCCAGAATGGGAGGTGCTGGGTGGGAGACGTCACCCTTTACAATGGGGACCTTTGCTTCTGGAGTTGGGGCTGGTTCCGTGGTTTCTCTCCCACCTGCTGCCACATAAGTCAAGTGATTCCTGTGGGTGGGAGCTCCTGGGAGGAGCATTGATGACTGAGGAGGTGCCTCCTCCCGGCAGCCTTTTCCTCCAGTCCCTAGTTGCTTCCTGGCAATGGGAAGCTCCTTAAGTACCTGTTGGCAGCACTGTGAGATGTGGCCGTTTGATGTTGCCTAAGTTGACCCTGGCACTCAAAGCCACAGCAAGTGTTTGATTATTTATGTTTATTATTAAAATCAATCATCAATCGTTTATTATTGTAATTATGCACTTATTTGTTTTCTTCTCCGTTATGGGAAGACCACAGCCCGCGAGGAGGCTGACCTGCGCTTCTGCCAGCTGACCCGGGAGTACCAGGCCCTGCAACGTGCCTATGCCCTGCTCCAGGAGCAGGTGGGGGGCACGCTGGATGCTGAGAGGGAGGCCCGGGTGAGTGCAGCCAGCCTCAGGGCTCGAGGGAGGGGCCCTAGATCATGCAGGTCCTTTCCAGAAGTGTGACATACCCTGGCTTGGACACTCAGAGGGGATTCTGAGAGGTGATGGGGAACCCAGAGCAAGGTCTTTGCTGCGGTGACATTCTAGATCCCTCTCTGCATCCTCGGTGTGATGGCAGGAGCTCTGGAACGTTGAGCTGTTAGAAGAAGCATCACCTGTGCCGTCTGTTTGGAGGAGAGCATGTGTCCAGAATTTAAGACTAAGTGATGAAATCAGACGTGGCCGGCTTGCAGGCTTCAGGCTCCTCTCCCTCCAGGGCTGCGAGACCCCGCCCTCCGGGACATCCACCAGAACACTTGCAGGGACTCTGGGGTGCTCCCCAGCCACCAAGGCACTCTGGGCCCTGTGGCCACCTCAGTCCAGGACACGCCTTTCCTCAGGCTGGGCTGAGCTCTGCCTTCTGGAAACCTCCACCCACTGGCCCTTCTCCCACCTTCGGGAGTCACATAGACTGGGGCCTGCTCTCCCTTCCTCCTGTGAGTGCGGGGGACTCCCGGAGAGCACACACGGGTGCTTCCCTGCAACCCCTTTCCCATCTCACCCCCACACTGGTCCCCTGAGGCAGGGGGAATTAACCCTGTCTTCCAAATGAGGAAACAGGCTCAGAACTGAGCAACTTGCCCCCAAATGCCCAGATGGTACCTAGCAGAGCTGGGAGTCGAGGCCAGGTTTCTCGGACTGAGGGCCTGTGCTCTTTTTCAGAGCCCTGTTCAGGAATTCCACAAAGGGATGGATTTTGGTGATCTTAAAGGCGATGGGCCAGAATGGAGTGTTGCCTGGCAGATCAGATGGCAAAGGCAGAGAGGAGAGGCCATGCCCACGTGGAGCTTGTTCCAGGGGCAGCTGTGGCCCTGTGTGGGGGGAGTCAGGAGTAAGGGGGAGCCAGGAGTAAGGGGGAGCCAGGAGTAAGGGGGAGTCAGGAGTAAGGGGGAGTGAGGTCAGCAGGGCGGAAAGCTTCTTGTCCCACCATAAAAGGCCTAGTCTTTATCATCTAGGTCAGAGGAGGGAAACTGTGAGGCTTTGTGTGGGCGGAATCATTTTTGTTTTGCTTTTTAAATTTCGTCTACTTGCCAACATTTAAAAGTCAAGAGATTCCATAGAGAAATCCAGGTTTGTGACCTCTCTTGAAAGGTCAGAACGTCTGGCAGCAACAGGCGTCCCATTTCATGTGGCTGCTGCTGAGTGGCAGCGCCTCCCCAAGATGGGTCATGTGCCTCTGGCTTGCCACAGTCCCCACCACTCCCTGTTACCCCACACCCTGTTGACTTCCCTTATTTCTGTGACTTGCTTGGTGCTTGAAGTATTTTGCTTTGCAGCCCCTGCTGTAGATGATAAGGGGCCTGGACGGGGGCTACACAAGTGTGCAAGCGTGTCGAGGTCTGATGATAGCTGAATGAGCTTCAGATTCAGTGAGGACTGGACTTGGTCAGAGAGCTGGTCCTGGACCCCCAGTGTGGCTGGCTTCTGGCTCACTCACCCCCTTGAAAAACAGGGTCCCTTCTCCAGGCTTCATGTTCCTTGCCTGTAAAACCAAACAAGTCGGACCTGTCAAACTCTCAAGGCTGTTCCGTTCTTAATGATTTTGTGTTTGAAGCTGAGCCATGCTTCTAGTAGGGCAAGGTGGAATATGTGCTCCTAAAAGTGAACCTCTTCCTAAGGTTTGCCTATAAGGATCCTAGACATTGCTTGCATCAAGGCATGACACTTTCCACTTCCCTGTCACCCACTGGAGGTGACCAGCTCACTGCCTGGTCTTTTCCCTTCCAGACTCGGGAGCAGCTACAAGCTGATCTGCTGAGGTGTCAGGCCAAAATTGAAGATTTGGAGAAGTTACTGGTTGAGAAGGGACAGGTGAGCAGGAATGATCTGTGCTCTGTGGATCTTTGCTTTTCTGTCCCCTCGGTGGTGTCCCCAGGGCTCGCCCGTGTGCCGAGGGGGATATTCTGTGGGGCTGGATCAGGAGCTCCAGAGACACTAGAGGAAAAAACACTAGCAGAACCCAGGCACGGGTGTGCTTCCTACTGAGCCTGCGTGCCGAGTTTAAAAAATCAAAACAAGGTATGGCATTCTAACTTGGCCTTTTCTTTGTTTGTTTGCCAAATGCACAAAAAGGAGGTAATTCCAAAAGCAATGGTGTGATCAAAACTGTTTTTGACTTGAACCTGAAGAAGAGCTGTCATTTCCTATCAAGATTTTAATTGTGAAAAAGAACCAGCACCCATGACTAACCCTGGGTTATTGCAGAGGCCCCACCTCTGGTCTCTGATTGTGTCTTAGAACAGTCTGATCCTGTGCTGCTCAGGTTAGAGTCACCTGCACCTACCCATCCACTGCATTTGATTAGGCAAGGCCCGGTTGACAGTAAGACACAGCAGAAAAGCAATGCCTGGGCCTAGACCTGTCCTCTGGAGTCGGGGAGACGCCAGAGGGGGCTCTGGGTGGAAATCTGGCCTCTCAGGGGGTGGCATCCAAAGGTTAGTATGAGTCGGCCTCCTCTGTGTCAGAAGTGCTGCTGTGGTGACATAGGTGACATAACCTGAACGTCTCCCTGGCCCCATGTGACAAGGTGTATTCTGTTCACACTCCTGTTTCTCCCTGGGGCCTCTCAGGGATGCAGGACAGGAGGCACCATCGTCTTGGAACTGCCCCATCTCGAACTCTTCCTCTGCTTGGCTGTTTGCTGCCTCAGCAAAATTCATCAGTCACATGGCCTCACTAACAGTGAGGGTGCCAAGGAGGGTGTGGGCAGATGGAGTGTCTGGTGGCCCCCACCCCCACCTGCAGAGAGGCATCTATGGGGGACTGAGGAGGCCGGGCAAGGTCTACTACAGGTCTTAGGCCCAGTGGGACACAGTGGGAGAAAGCAGGCGTGAAGCGAGGGGTGTAAAAGATTCCAGGCAGCTTAACAGAAGCAGCTCCGGAAAAGCACTGCAAAGCTGCAAAGCCAGCAGCTCAGAATGGCTGCCGCAGGGCTCAGGGTTGAGACTGAGGTTCCCATGGAGGTGGACGGCCAGCGACCAGCATGCATGCCTGGCACAGAGTAGGTCGCCACCGCAGACTTTACCAATGGACTGCGTGGGGGAATGTGAGTGCCCGCCCTCTGGAATGACTTCTGTAAACCGTGGTCTGCATCCTCCATGTGGTGGGATTGTGATGCAGAGATCACACACTATAGCTGGCCACCTGGGTCAGAGGGCAGCTCTGCCACTTCCTTGTTGCATAACCTTGGGCAAGTTACATAATCTGTTTGTGCCTCAGTTTCCTTATCTTTAAAATGGGGCTAATAATAATTCCTAATACCTTAAGCAGGTAGACAGAGGAGAACCCAGGAGTAGCTGGAGCAGAGATCCAGGTGCCAGATGATAAGGCTTTTTTTTTTAGGCTGCTAGTCTCAGTTTCCCTCTTCTAGGCTGAGCCAGCATATCTGTAACTTGCCTGATCACAGTCTATGACTAACTTAGTGTTGTAAGTAAATGTTTATTCCTTGGTGCTGCAAGGAAAAATCAGCATTCAGACAAAAATGTTCTCAGCAAGGCAATTTTACTTTCTGCGGAAAGGGTGCTGCCTGTTAGCAATCAGACACATTGAACAAAGAAAAGCAGGGATATTTATTCCTTACACATTGGGTCCTTACTGCTGCGTCCTATCTCCATTGACTGGAGCTGGACCTCCCAGTCTAAGCTAGACCCAATTGACTAACAACTTAAAACTTTTCTAGATAGGTAAAGGCAATAGAGAACAAAGGAAAAGAGGAAATTGCTTGTGAAGAGACTTAGAGAAGTAATAACATTTCCAAATAAGGAAGCAGCATAAGCTGCAAGCTGGGACATGTTTGAGCATGTCTATAACAAATATCTTGGTTAAAGTACAAAGACCTAGAATGTACTTATTCCCTTGTATCTAACAGCTACATAGGAGTGGCTTAACAAAGAGTTATTACTACAAAAGCAAGGAGGCTTGAAGGAAGTTAGTTTTTAAAAGAAACTATTATTTCTAACACTTATGATTTATTCTTTCATAAGAAGGGAAACTTTGAAGAGGAACTTTTTTACTTTCCACACTTAGCCTCCCCCAGGGGGGTAGGTCCTCTCTGTGTGTCCTGCTCTGCCCTCCGTGCCTGCTAGAGAATGGCGCCAGTCTGGGGCAAAGCCTGTGGCTGTTCATCCAGCAAGCACTTCCCAGAGCCCTCGCCCATCCCAGGCCCAGTACTGGTACCTGGGACACTGGGTCAGTTTGCTGTTGAGTAACAAACCACCCCAACACTTAGTTATTTAAAACAGCAGGGATTCTATTTGCACACAGTTCTGTGGATCAGCAGTTTTGGCTGGGCACAGCCTGCCAGCTGCCGGCCAGGTGCCTCCGCCTCAGGGAGGCCCACCTGGCTTCTTTCCCCATGATTTGGGGCAGGGAAAATGGGCAAGCCCAAGGCCCTAGCAGGGTCTAAACCTCTGCTCAGGTCACCTCTGCTAACATCCCGGTAGCCAGAGCATGGCATGGCTCAGCCCAGCTTTGAGTTGGAGAAATGGACCCCATTACCTGCTGGGAGAAGCTGCCAAGTCACATGGCAAAGAGGGTGGACACAGAGGTGGGAGGGAGGGTTGCAGCCATTTTTGGCCACAATATGCCACAGACAAAAGCTGGGTGGAGCACAGCCACTCCTCACAGGTGCTCGCAGCCTGTGAGGCCCACATGTGGGTCAGCATGGGAATGACACAGGTGCCAGGTGCCAGGGAGACAGAAGCCTGGAGACAACCAGGGCCTCTTCTGTGCATTCCATGCACTTGGGACCAGACCCTAGGCCAGGCCTCTGCTTCTCAGCATCCTAGAACACCAAGACTCTGTGAGCCTGGCCCAGCCTGGTGCTTGGGAGGGGCCTCTGCCCAGCCCCGCCTCTGTGGCTGACCAGCAGAGAAGGGAGGAGGGAGTTGGAGAGGGCTTCCCATAACTTTACTTATTCCTTCATCCGCCCATTCCATGATTCACCGAGTACCCCTGTCCCCATGTGCCAGGCACTGTGCCAGGCTCAGGGTGCCATGTGCTCACAGGACTTATCCAGGAGGATGTGGCCAGGCAAAGAAACGTGGGAAGGGTGTCACAGGCAGAGAGAGTAGAATGAACAAAAGCATATCTGTGGCTCTGGCCAGTCCACGGGGTATGAGGTCAGCCTTCCGCAGGCATGGAGGGTCTGCCAGTGTGGACCAGTCACCCTGGAGCCACATTTCTGTCAATTAGACTGACAGAATGGAGTCATCATGCTTTGGGGAACGTGAATGAAGTGGAGAAGGGATGCCCCACAAACCAGCCGTTTCTCTTTTTGGGGTTTAAAAGTTGACAGGGACAATGAGGACACATCACAGCTGTCATTTTCTATGACCTTTCCATAGTCAGTTTCATAGAAAGTGGCCTTTATCACTAAAAGTTTGTTACTTGGCCATCTGTTTGCTTCCATGAATGTGACCATATTTAGTGCTTTTCCTTAGGATTCCAAGTGGGTTGAAGAGAAGCAGCTGCTCATCAGAACAAACCAAGACTTGCTGGAAAAGGTGCGTGACCCACCTCAGGGAGGCACAGAGCCCCAGGGCAGTTGGGACCCCACAGGCCTGCTCAGACCACACGGGTCGTGCCCAGCGCCATTTGGGTACTCCGGTGACCAGGGCCTCAGGGCCTGCACGCCTCCTATGAGGAGAAATGTCCTCCTCACATGGAATCAAAGCCACATCCGTGGTTCTGTCCTCTGTGACCAGGTCTGCAGAGTTGGTTTAGCTCATCCTCCTGGGGTACGCCACAGAAACGCAGAGACCTGGCCTGTCTTCCCAGGCCACCCTGCAGAAATGAGGAGGGCTGGCCCCAACCTCTGGGGACACCCTGCAGAAACGTGAAGAGCTGCCCTGTCCTCTGGGGACAGCCTGCAGAAACGTGAAGAGCTGCCCCGTCCTCTGGGGACACCTGCAGAAATGGGGAGGGCTGGCCTATTGTTGGGCTGGTCCATCTTCCTGACATTGGGCTCCAGGCCACCTCTGCTGTGGCTTTATGGTCCAAAGCCCTTCACCCACCAGTGTGGTGGGCACCCGAGGCAGGTCCGTGGGCAGATCCTCAGGCCATCTTTACCCAGTGCAGCTGACCCATAATGGGAACTGGGCCTCTGTTCTTCTCTTTCTGGTTGTGAAACTTTCCAGAGCTCTCGGGGAGTCTGCTTGGGGGTAGCTCTAATGCTTTGGAATTAAAATCGTAGCTTATTTTTTCCTAATTGGTGTACAATTCACTTATTCCTTTTGTAAATTTACTGCGTTGTGCAACCATCACCACAATGCAGTTTTGGAACATTATTGGCCTGGTAAAGACCCCTCCTGCCCATGGGCAGTCCCCCCTCTGCCCTGCCTCCTGGCCCCTGGCAGCCTCCAGTCCACTCTGTCTCTGGATGTTGCAAGTAAGTGGAGCCAGACCCTAGGTTAGGCCTCAGCTTTTGAGCGTCCTGGAGTATGAGGACTGGAGGAACCTGGCCTGGTCCTGGTGGGGGGGCCTCGGCCCAGCCCCCTCTCTGCTGCTAACCAGCATGTGACCCCACTCCCTTCCCTACATTTCTCAAGAGCGTTTGGGACAAGGGCATTTGGGACGGCAAGCAGTCCCGGGCCTTGGGAGAATTTTAGCATCTTTGGTGTCTTGTTCACTAAATTCTGGGAGCCATGGAAAACCCTCACCTCACCCCTCATGCCATTTCTAAAGGTCTCCCGGGGGTGGGATCACCTGGCAGAGGACCCACTCTAGCCTTCTGTAATGGTGCTGTAGGGCCCGCTTTAGCCTTCTGTAATGGTGCTGTAGGGCCCTGCTCTAGCCTTCTGTAATGGTGCTATGAGGCTTTCTTTACTCAAAGCCCTCATTTACTTGCGTTATTTTAGTGACTTCTCGCTGCTGCCAGGTGATGGGTGCTACTGTTTCCCTTCTTGGACAGAAGCTGAGGGCTGGAGTAGTTGGCTAAGTGATCCAGCATCTCCCAGCTGGGACTGGGATGCAGGCAGTGTCACTTCCCACACTGATCTGCACTCTCAGAGAACTCTTGCCTTTACGGCTTCTTCTGCAAGCTCTGTGGGGAAGCAGGAGGGGGCCTGCCTGCCGCAGTTGGCTGGGCCGCTGTCTGGGTAGGCTGAATCTGGTGGGGCTTGAGTTGGAAAGACCTGGACAGGCTTTGGGTGTGGCACTCTTGCTTCCCAGTGTTTGGCCACAAGGGAGGGACTTAATAGCCCCATGCCTCAGTTTCCCCATCATTCATTTATTCAGCAAATATATAAGTAGCCCCTCCTCCACTGGGCCAGGCTCAGAGGTGCAGGGGTGAACCTGGCCCAGCCTCTGTCTCCTTCATTCCCAGACGCATCAGCAAGAAGGACCTGCAGCACCTGCCTCCCTTGCTACAAACCCTGCCCTCTCCCGCCCCTTGCCCACATGGCCGGTCCTCTGCTTCCCTCCAGCCACTCAGTCAGGTGGCCTGTGACCAGGGGACCCCAGTGCTCCCACCCATCCTGTTAATCCGTAGGTGTCTTTGCTCTAGATTTACAGACTGGAAATGGAAGAGAACCAGCTGAAGAACGAAATGCAAGACGCCAAGGATCAGAACGAGCTGTTAGAATTCAGAGTGCTAGAACTCGAAGTAAGAGACTCTATCTGTTGTAAGCTCTCAAACGGAGCAGACATTCTCTTTGAACCCAAACTGAAATTCATGTAAAGCTCCCAGACGTTTTCAAGCATGTGGAAAGGGGACATGTTCTAGTTTCTTTCTTTCTTCTTTCTTTCTTTTTTTTAAATCTGTATGTTCAGAATAATTTCACTGCCTTAATGTGTTCTGGAGAGAGTGCCCACCCAAGTCTATGGACATGTACCAGAGCTAATATATTTATTGCCTATGGCTTGTTTTGCACTTAATAAAATAATTTGTTTTTGCAATATTTTGCCTTTTTTATTTGTGTTTCATTTCCATAACTACTTCTTTCCTGCATGCATAGTCACCGGGTACGCATTCTGCACACCCAGACGGAAGCACTGTTGCAATTAATAACACACCTTTTTAAGTGATCTTGCATGCAGTAAATCTCACCTTTTGAAATAGCAGAGTCTGACCTGAGCCAGCAATTGACTCTAGAATGTGTTTAATGCCAGTTTGGGCTAATTTTCTATTTGCCAAGGTAAACACAAGGTAAGTAAAGACAGGGTAGAAGGATGTATTTGCATAGGCGTTTAAGAAAACTAGTTACGTTGTTCAAACTCTTTTATGCAGTAAATACAGACCCAGGCATTGCAGCAGTATTGGGCTAAAGAAATTACTATTTGCAACTCAAACTGCAACTCAAAACTACTGGAGGGAGATCAGTTGCTGTTCACGTGTAGAAATCCCGTTCCTTCGGGAACTGCCCCAATGCACCGAGTGAGATTCAGTGAAAGAATACTAATGGTCTTACTGCTTCCAACTGAAATCTTACCTCGGGTGTGTTACTGTATTGCCTTGCTCTCATGGTACTTCATAATCCTTCTTTTTGTTTCTGTTGAAAAATCATTGGCATTTTAAACATCACTTCAGTTTGTGATGAGTTTCTCTAAGCACCTGTAGTGGCGCGGCTCTGCTGTCTCTCAGCTGAAACCTTTGCATGCGTGAAACCCTCAAAGTGAGCACCCTCACAGTGTCTGTGGCTTCCCCAATTTTGTTTTCTCCTCCCGGCTTGAGTTACAATTCTGTCTGCATTAGAACTGACCGTGTGTACCTTGTTGTGTGGGCAGGGACCTGTGGCCTGAGTATTTCTCACACCAAGTGTGACTCAGCTCTTGGCTCAGCATGACATGAGCATTTTATTTGTGCGGCAGAATTGGAAGTTATGTGAGATCATTGTTAATACTCCTGCCGCTGTTAGAGAACCTTTCACAAATCCTTGTTATGAGTCTTTCTCATGAGAATTCTATAGGCACTAACCAGTTCACTAAAGTTTTCTTTAATGGTCTCCACCCTCCTTCAGAACCACCAGAAACAAAATGGCTTTTTTTTTTTTTTTTGAGACAGAGTCTCGCTCTGTCACCCAGGCTGGACGACAGTGGTGTGGTGCGCTCTGGGCTCACTGCAACCTCTGCCTCCCTCAACCTCCCTAGTAGCTGGGATCACAGGCACACACCTCCTCACTCAGCTAATTTTTGTGTCTTTAGTAGAGACAGGTTTCACCGTGTTGGCCAGGCTGGTCTCAAACTCCTGACCTCAAGGGATCCACCTGCCTCAGCCTCCCAAAGTGCTGGGATTACAGGCATAAGCTACCATGCCCGGCCTACAAAATGACTTTTGTTCATATAAAATCTGAGCTTTTGGGGCCACTTTTTCTATGGAGACGCCATTTAAGTAAATTTGCTGATACAAAGGCATCTGTGGAATGGAACCATCATGAATTTTTTTTTTTTTTTTTGACTAATAAGGGGAAATAGGGTTTTCTTACTAGACTGTTTCAAACCTAGTTTAGTCAGGTTAGGGCTTCATGGAAATTAATTGAATTACTACCCAGTCCTCCCTCTTTCCTTCAGTCTCACTCCAGAGCATCTTCTTAAGCCCTGCCGTCTAGATTCGTGCCTCTCTTGGCTATATCTCTTTGTTGAATTATTCAAGACACCCATTGGTTCCGTAGCTAGATTCTGCTAGAATGGCCCCAAGTGTGTTATTTTGTACCTTACTGTAACTTTGCTCAAACCAAAGCAGTTTGATTGAAAGGTGTAATTTGCAAAGGTCTTCTCTGCTGCCCCGCCATGACAAATCTGTCCATCGCTAAAGTGTTTAAAGTGCGTTCTGTGCAGGAAACACATCTGAGACCTGAGTCCTGTTCTGCCTCTGTGCTTTAGCCCTGTAAGTAACTAGGTTTTCCCGACCTTTTAAAAACTCATCACTTATGTATGATTAATAAATACCTATTTCGGGAAAAGACTTGCTCTTCTTCCTCCCTTAGTAATTGAGCTTTGCTGTAAGTCTAAGGCAGGGGTAGAACGATCACTGGTTGTGCTAGTGTGGTTCAAAAAAAATTGTGAATGTTATTGGCACATTGTACTGGAAAGAACAGAAAGTCAGCCTTTGGGGCCGGGCGAGGTGGCTCACGCCTGTAATCCCAGCACTTTGGGAGGCCGAGGTGGGCGGATCACCAAAGGTCTCTGGAGTTCGAGACCAGCCTGGCCAACATGGTGAAACCCCGTCTCTACTAAAAACAAAACAAAACAAGCAAACAAAAACAACAACAACAACAACAAAATTAGCCCGGCATGGTGGCGCATGCCTGTAATCCCAGCTACTTGGGAGGCTGAGGCAGGAGAATCGCTTGAACCTCGGAGGTGGAGGTTGCAGTGAGCCAAGATTGTGCCATTGCACTCCAGCCTGGGCGGCAAGAGCGAAAAAAGAAAGAAAGAAGGAAAGAAAGAAAGAAAGAGAGAGAGGGAGGGAGGAAGGGAGAGAAAGAAAGAGAGAGAGAGAGAAAGAAAGAAAAAGGAAAGAAAGGAAGGAAGGAAGGGGAGAGAAGAAAGAAAAGAAAGGAAAGAGAGAAAGAAAGAAAAAGAAAGAAAGGAAGGAAAGAAGGAAGGAAGGAAAGAGAAAGAAAGAAAGAAAGAAAGAAAAAAAGAAAGAAAGAAAGAAAGAAAGAAAAGAAAGAAAAAAAAAAGAAAGAAAGTAAGTCAGCCTTTGGGTCCTCAGAGTGCAGGGACCTCAGACTCAGCCTCCCTGAGCCACTGCCTCCCCTTTGTCTACAGAATGAAAGCAATGAGCCTGCCTCCTGGGGTTGTGTGAGGATTAAACGGGAGAGTGGTGTGCCTGGCACAGGGTAGTAAACCATAGTTGGCGGCTTTTGCTATCTATTCAAATTTAGTGCAACTGTGTTTTTTAAATTTTGTAATTCTGTGACTTCGCAATGGATAAAGCCATGGTACCCTGTTAACCATTTCTCCCTAGATGAATAGGTAAGAAGTAAACACGTTTCCAAAGGAGAACGGCTGCGTGGGAAGGCGTGAAAACGTCGTAGTTCACGGACGAGGCTGCTTCTAGTCCGAACTCGCGCTTTTTAGTAACATCTGTGCCCACTGGAATTCCTTGGTTTTTGCTGAGTAACGTGGGAAAATGGCAAGCGGTAAATAATCCGGTCACATTCTGTTTTTAAACCGAATCTTTTCCCCAGGAGAGAGAGAGGAGGTCGCCAGCATTTAACCTCCAAATCACCACCTTCCCTGAGAACAACAGCAGCGCTCTCCAGCTGTTCTGTCACCAGGAAGGAGTTAAGGTAGCGTGCCTGGGGGGTGCCTCTGCTAAATGCCAGCCAAGGGCTTGCTCCGTGCCCGGCTCAGTTGTAAAGGGGGAGTGCTGGGATAGAATTGATTTTCATGAGATACCCCTTGTGTTAAAAGTCATAGTTTGACCATTTATTAAGGGGTCACCAAATGTGACTCTATTTTGACCCATGTGTTTAAAACAGCAGAGGCTTGGTGTATTGCCCCGAGGGTGAACCCCAGCTCCACCGCTGCTCTGGCCTGTAAACTTTCTGAGCCTTAGCCTCTTCGCTATGAAATCCAAATGACAATACCCACACCATGAAGCTGGGGTGATGATGAAATCAGATCATGAACAGACGCCAAGTGCCTGGCCCTGTGCCTGGCATAGCAAGGTTCTGTAGAGGGTGGCTGTGGTGGCTAGAAGGGTCCGGGGTTTGCCATGTCCTAAAGCCCTGCTCAGCTCCAGGGACAGTGTCCTGACTCACCCAATTCCATGGCCCTTCTAGAAAGCAGTGTTTGTGCTGGTGTAACACTCAGCAAATGAGCAGCAGTTATGCCTTCTCTCCCTCACTCCCCAGAGGAACGGCTGGGCACAAAACTTGGCCGGAAAAGAAAAGAAAGAACACGGTATCTTGTCGAGAGGAAAGGCCGTGGCCCTAGAAATTGGTGTGGTTGGTCTCTGTAGCTCACACAAAAATGAACGTTGGAAATCTCTTCCAGGATGTGAATGTTTCTGAACTTATGAAGAAATTAGATATCCTTGGCGATAACGGGGTAACTATGAGCGATCGGTTTCTGCTTTCGTGTTCTTGTTTTGATCTGGGTGTATTCTGTGTGACTTTCGTTTTGTTTTGTTTTTTTTAAAATTTCTCTCTGATATAAGAGATCTAAGAAGTACAATGTAAGGCTTTTGTATGGCCATGTTCCTGGGTGGGTGGAGGGGTTGGTATTCGTCAGAAGTGGGGTTCTGAAGTTAGGTTCCCCTGGCCTGTGAGTGAGGAGGGGATGGGAAGGCCTGAGAACCCCTACCCAGAATGCAGGTGGAGTCACATGAGATTTCTGAAATCAGAAAGGGATCTTTTGGCTATCCTGAAAGATGAACTTGAATGTAGCCATGTTTCACAAAAGCTTAGTGTCACTCTGTGAAATGTCCCCAAACAGAGGGACAGGAGCTGTGTGCCTGATGTGCTGGCCCCATTAGCGAGAGGGAGCTGACCCTCGGGTGCAGCTCGGAGAGAAGCTAAGAAAGTTGTTTGGTGTTGGCCGGGCATGGTGGCTCACGCCTATAATCCCAGCACTTTGGGAGGCTGAGGTGGGCGGATCACCTGAGGTCAGGAGTTCGAGACTAGCCTGGCCAACATGGTGAAACGCCATCTCTACTAAAAATACAAAAACTATCCAGGTGTGGTGGTGTGCATCCCAGCTACTGTAATCCCAGCTACTCGGGAGGCTGAGGCAAGAGAATCACTTGAACCCAGGAGGCGGAGGTTACAGTGAGCCAAGATCACACCACTGCCCTCGAACCCAGGTGACAGAGACTGTGTCTCAAAACAAACAAACAACAACAAAAACAAACAAAAAAACTTGGTGCTGACTGTCTGCACGTGGATTTGGGATCCAGTGTCAAATGCCCTTGCCCATTTTTGTGTTTTAGAATTTGAGAAATGAAGAACAGGTTGCAATAATCCAAGCTGGAACTGTGCTTGCCCTGTGTGAAAAGGTAGAAGCCAGCGGCATTTCTGTGCTCACACCTTGTCCCGGCTTCCCAGCACCATACAAGAAACTGTACATTGGCGTCTTGCTTTGCGTGGGAGCATGCATTCCAGTCCGTCTGCGTCTGCACGTGCCCGTGCATGCCTTTCCATTTTCTTCATGAAGGAAGTCCCACATGCTCGCTGTAGAAAACCCAGAGATGCAGGAGGAAATCAAAACCCGGTGGAGGAAACAGTCTGTCACATTTGTGTGTTTCCTTCCAGTGGTTTCCCTGTGTCTGTTGTTTTTAAACTTAGTCGAAATGATGCTTGACATCCGGTTTTCAATCAGGCTTTAGAAGCATCCTCCATGCCATTTAACATGGTTCATAAATGTGTTTAAATGACTGTGCATCTCTCCATCACACAGTTATACTGTTAGTTACTGAAGCCCCTCTTAGCTGTTAGATATCACAGGTGTTTCCACTTTTTTTTTTCCCTTACAATCGTGCAGTGGTAAACTGCACATTTTTTACACATAAATTTCTATCTGCATCTTAAAATACGCCCATAGGATATGTTTTAGAAGCAGAATAACGGGGCCAAATAGTAAGAATGTCTTGAAGGACTTCGGCATGGTCAAAACAGTGTCCAGAAAAGCGGCACCAGTTACCCTTCTACCCACAGCCTTACACGTCGTTGATTGATGCTTGACATGGCATGTTACCGCTGCCGAGTACTTTGTTGATTGGATGGTGAAAACTGTATCATGTCATTTTTTAAATTTTTATTTGAGTGCTAGTGATACTGAGGTTTTTTTGTATGTATTATCTATTTTCTTCTCCTTCCTTGTGAATTGTAATTGCATTTATTTTGAGGGTTTTCCATTGGATTTATTCACCCATCCATGCATTCATTCATTTGACAAATGTGTATTCATTGTCATTGTCTTTCTTACTGACTTCTCTGCGTGCTTTACATATTAAAGATATTAGCTTTTTGACCTGTTTGTTACAAAACACATTCCCGATGTGTTTGCCTTTTACATTGGTTTAGGGTGTGTTAGAAATACACAACTGTTTAGGGCTAAAGACCTTTTCCTTTCAAAGCACATGAGTTCAACTTTAAAATGCTATTTTTGCAGTGATGAGGTCTTAATGATCTTAGTTGGGATTCATTCCTGAATCTCTGGAAGGGCATTTAAACTGGAAATAGTTTTCTTCCCAGGGCATCTGTTCAATCCCTCAATCAAGTAAAGAATACTAAATGTTGGTAACAGACTTATGGCCAAACCTTGCCCAAGGTCACACTGGTAGGCAGTGAGAGGATTGGAACTCAGCTTTCTCCTGTTCCTATCATCACTAAACCTGGCTGAGCTTGTGTCCTCAGGTGAACCGCGGGACGGGGATGACTCACACCTGGCCGGCTGGTGGCCATCAGGTGCAGGTGCAGGTGCAGGTGCAGGTGCAGGCATGGGGTGAGACACATGAGACACATTCAGCACACCTTCCTTTCCAGCAGCAAAACCCTCCATGGCTGTCTAGGCTCCTCCAACAGTGCTCCGTGTAGAGTCACACAAAGTGCTGATTAAACACTTATGATATTTATGACTCAGTTTACTCAACATCCACTGGAACATTTACTGAGAGAGAGCATCTTAGTGTCAAGTGCTGAGCACAGCCCTGGTAGACGTGGAGATGTCACATCCACCAGTGTCTGATTTGATGTCGGGGAGGCCTCTCCTGGCTTGGGTCTTGGCGACACCACTTGCCAGCTGCAGGGGTTTCGGCCAGTTTCTCACCACGTCTCTCTCAGCCATACCGAGCATCCTGGTGGCTCACAGTCTCTGTCGGAATCCGCGAGGCTGCATATTTCAGTGGCATCAGGCATTGCCATCTGGTTCAGTCAGGCACCTGGGGCCGTGCTTACTTCCTGGAGATGCTTGGTCAATGCCTGTGGATCGGGTGAGCAAGGAGCAGGAACCTGCCAGTGACTCAGGGGGCTGGTTCGTCACGGGGCTGGGGCAGAGGGCGTTGGAGGGCCAGGGCGCCAGCTGGCAGGAGGCTTCCAGCCTCGGTGAGAGCAGCCCTCTGCAGGGCGCTGAGTTCTCCCACCTGAGCCATTCCTGATGCACCCCTCCCCACGCCCAACCCACAGCAGGTGTTCCAGGCCCGCACCTTAGGTCCCCAGCGCTCCTCATCCTCTGGGCATCTGTGAGATTAGCAGCCCTCTAGGACAGATGAGGAGGGGGAGCCTGTCTGGGATCCGGCCACTGTCTGCTTGACCCTCACCATGCTGTGCTTGCCTGGCAGCTGCCGACCTCCCCGCTTGCACCCTGCCCACCCCCACCGCCGCCCGCCTGCCCCTGCCCACTAACCTCCCCAAGCCAGTCAGCCTGGTGCCGTGCCTTGTGCCCTACACACTAGAGAGCCGTGCCGGCTGCCCTAGTCTGCCAGCCCCTCACAACCCCTACTGATGGTTATGGGGCCCCGATTCTGAGCCTGGCACAGAGGTGCCAAGCTCCCTGTCTTTGAGGACTGGACTTAAACCATGGTTTTCTCAGGTTGGGTTCTAGGAGACACTGGCCCTGCCATTTGTCTGTGGATAAAGGTCCAGTAAGCTTGGGAGTTGCCACTTGTCTTCTCCCAGCCTTGTTGGTGTGAGAGCTCCTCAGGTCCAGAAGTGGACCCTCATGTGGGGTGGGAACTGCATCAGCAGGACCCTCTGAGAATCTGGCAGGACTACTAGGGGACTGACGGTCTGCTTTGCCTGGGACTGACAGCTTTCCTGGGACGTGAGAATTGCAATGCTAAAAGAGGGACAGTCGTGGGCCAACAGGGACAAGCTGGTCACCCTAGAGCCGACAGGCACTGCAGGGAAGTTTGCAGAGGGGGAGGGCACCTGCAATGTCACTGCCAGAGAAGGCTTTCACAGACAGGCCCAGTTAACCCCCATGCCACTAAATACTCCTTATTTTAAAAATTGTCATTCCATACTGGTATCCGAATAAGCGGAAGTCAATGTCAATGTTCCCTTAGAGGCATGAATTTTTTTTTTTTTTTTTTTGAGACTGAGTCTCACTGGTTGCCCAGGCTGGAGTGCAGTGGCATGATCTCAGCTCATTGCAACCTCCACCTCTAGGGTTCAAGCGATTCTTGTGCCTCAGCCTCCTGCAGCTGGGATTACAGACATGTGCCACCACGCCTGGCTAATTTTTGTATTTTTAGTAGAGATGGGGTTTCTCCATGTTGGCCAGGCTGGTCTCAAACTCCTGACCCCAAGTGATCTGCCCGCCTTGGCCTCCCAAAGTGCTGAGATGACAGGTATGAGACACCTCACCTGGCCTTGAAGCCCATTTCTCAGTGTGTAGGTGAAGTGCAACCTGAAGGAATGTCCTATGATGTGCCTGTGTTGATTTCCCTGCAAACAGCATCTTGCACCGGGCACGTGCCTTCCTCATCTCCACCCACTGAAGCCCTGCCCAGTCATCAAGGCACAGGCATCCATCCTGGCACCCGTCAGCCCCACTCCGGTTAGCCACGTATAGGATCAGGGCAAGGTCTCACTCGCCTCAGCACATGGCACGTGCCCTGCAGAGAAACTGAACCATGAGACATTGGAGGGTTTCTAAATCATAGCAGTCATATCTCTTCTCCCTCAAGTTCAGAGTGGATCGAGAAAAAGACACTGGCCTCAGCCAGGTGGGAATGCCTTAAAGGCCGTGTTTTCGCTGGTAACGATGGATAGGAGAATGAGGCATAGGTCTGAGCCATAGTCAGACTTTCTAATAGTTGGCCCCGAGTTGAAGCCTTGGGACCCTCCCCAAAGGGAGAGGAGAGAGATGAGCCCCACCAGTTGCAGGGGATCTAGGCTCTGCACCTGAGGGGTCCTGGGAGTCGGGGCACAGGGAGCGGCCCCCACCCTGCAGCAGGCCACCCCCGTGAGGCTGCTCAGGTTCCCATCAGCACCTCCCTGTGGCTGGACTCCCTTCTCCTCCCCAGCCTGAGACCCCCTCTCCTGGGGTTGGAGCATAACCATGAACATTGTTTCTCCCAGGAGTGACTGAGGCCCCACAGCTCTCTGGCCAAACTCTTTGATATTAAATTTCTGATCTCACGTGGCCGGGGGTCCTCATGGCCAGCTCGCTCTTCTCTGTGTTCTCTCCCAGTTGCTAAAAAGGTCTTGTTAAATTTATTTTTTATATGCAAGTTTTTAAACGACAGCAACAGCAAAGCTCAACACTGTGTTCCGTGGAAACCATTCTGAGAGTGGCTTGTTGTCATCATCCAAAAATGGGTTTCCCGTTTTCATTTCATTCACTTTTTGACTGCTTGCATGAGGATGTTAAAAAGGAAATACCTGTAACTCCTCATCCGAAATATGCTTATCTGTTTCTAAGAAAACACGCATCTTGTCTGAGCCTTGTTTGAGGAAGTGCCAGCCACCGCGGCTGGCACAGGCTGCTGGGTGCTGCCTCCGTGGCTGGTACTGGAGCATATACTGGGGGCCGAGCTCACGGTGACGTTAGGGAGGGAGTTCTGTGACAGTACTCGATCAGTTCTAGTCCCCTCTGTACAGACAGCACACACCACACCAACCTGCACACCCTCGATTCTCCTTCATTCAACAGAAGTTTATTAGGCACCTGCTTGTGTCAGGCCTTGTGCCAGTCAAGGAAGTCCAACAGGAGGTAAACATGGTCCCCACCTTCAAGGGGGGGCAGCAGGGTGAAACAGACAACAGCGCCTGTCAGGTGAGTGCTGTGACCAGACATTCACAAGGTGACTGACATGGGCACCATGGAGGGTAACTGACCCCATGGACTCAAGCAGGGTAGGCTTCCTGGAGGAGGTGACAGCTAGCTCAGGGCCTAAAGACTGAGTGATGCTAGCTCAGTAAAGGCCTGGGACTGAGGCTGGGGCCAGGAGAGGTAGGGACGGCACAGGGAAAGGCTGGGCATGTTCGAGGGGCTCTGTGTAGTTAGGATGACCAGGGCCTGGGATTTCAGCAGGGACAGGAGATTGCTGACTGATGAGACTGTGAGCATTGCAGAGGCCACCCCACGCTGGGGCCTTGCCAGTGTTGTCGGGAGTGAGGGGATGTCTTTGGAGGGCTCTGAGCAGAGCAGGGAGGTTCCATGAGCCCATGTGTGGTTTTTAGGGAACTTGCTGGCTGGGGGGCAGAGAGGGATTTGTGGTATGTGGGGAGGTTTCAGATATGAACCTGGGGGCTGAAAGGGGAATGGGGGGTTGATGATGGGGAAGGAGTGCTGTGGGTGGGTTTGAGAACCAGAAGGAGGCGAAGCCAGTATGTTGGAAGTGGATGGAAGGAAGGAGGGGGCACTCTTCCCCATCAGGGGTCCTGGCAGGCCCTGGAGATTCCTTGAGACTTGGGAGTGGAGGGGTGCAGGAGGCAGCGGCACACAGGGTGTGGTGGGGCAGATCTGGGTGGGAGACATTTCAGAAAGTGTAGGGAGGGTGGATCCCGGGGGGAGGGCAGAGTAAGGTGGGGAAGGCGGAGGGCAGGGCTCCAGGACCTCACAAGGGCAGGGTGACCTCGTGAGGGTAACCAGCTGCTGCCAGAGGAGGGGGAAAGCAAGGAGTACAAGGAAACTAGGGGATCCTGGGGTCAGGAAAGGAGGCTTTCTGCAGCTGGGGCCTGGAGTTAGGAAAGGGGGTGCTCCACAGCCGGGGCCTGGGGTTGGGAAAGAGGGAGCTCTGCGGTTGGGGCCTGGCAGCGGGAGGCCATCCAACAACCTGAGCAATGAGGAGGTCAGTGGTGTTGTCAAGCCCGGACACCCCTCGGTGCCTTAAACCCGGACACCCCTCGGTGCCTTGACCTCCCCGCAGCCCTCCCCCATATGGCAGCCCCCCTGTGCTGGCCTGGACTTCCTCCCATCTTAGGGGCTCCTCATAGAGACACATCTGCATATGACACCTGCTTCCGTGCTCACCCCCAGCCCAGACCCCAGAGGGAACGTGGACAGAGCTCCCACTCCCTTACCTGGCACTCAGGTGCACGCCCTACCTGTTTGCCCCCTATTCTGTGCCTGCACCCTCATGTCCTGGCACGAACCCTGCTTTCATGCTCCTACACCCCCTATCCTGTGTGTGATTCCACTTCCTCTCACGGTGGCACCAGGCACTCTGGGCTGCTCCAACTCACGTTGCTGGAGGGATGAGGGCTTTGGCGTCCTGCAGGCTGGGTTCCAAGTCTCCATTCTGCACCTGTGTGACCTTGGACAAGTTACTTAACTCAGCCTCCATGTCTTTACCTGCAAAATGGGGGTGATGCTGCCTACTGCATGGGGTGGTCGTAAGAGGGTCAGATGAGGTCTCCTGAGTGAAGCATCGGCACAGAGCAGGCACTCTGTGACATCAGCTACACCACGCCACTTCCTCTGCTGTACACACTCGCAGCCGTCCACACTTGGGTCCACCCAGGCTCTGAATCCAGCTTCCACACCACGTACATGTCACACTTACACCTATGACCTCCTGCACATACAGGCTGGACCATGCACACACAACCACACCATCCGCAGGTGCAGGCATGTGTGTGCCGTGACGTGATCCATTCCTGAGCACGCCCTGAAAAAGCCGATCTATGAAATTCACACACCTGTGAAATTCCAGGGCCCGTTGGGTTCTGACTCTCACTTTGCTGCACCCCCCCTGTCCCTGCTGTTTTCTAGTGGCTGAAGCAAATAGAGGGGACCGAGGCCGCCCTGACCCAGAAGATGCTGGACCTGGAGAAGGAGAAGGTAAAAGATTTGACTGCCTGGGGGTGGGGGGAGAGGGTTCGAAGAGCAAAGTCGATTGCAGGAAGGCTTTGCATGTGTTTTCCTAATGATTTGCATGCATTTCCCAATTTTGCTTTTGCCCCAGTGTTTGTTCTGAGTAATTATCACCCATTTACTTACCTTTCACTTGCTCAGTTACTCATTCAATACCTGTTTTCAGAACCTCTGCTGTGTCCCAGGTACTATGCCAGGATTAGAGGCTTGGTAATGAATAAGTGGGGTCCCTGTCACCAGGAGCAAGCTCACAGGTCTGCAGGGTCGTGCAGTCATGAGCTCCTGTGAATGCAGCGTGAGGATGTTAGGAGCGACACAGCCCAGACATGGAAATGCTGGCGCAGTGACTCTAGGAACACACGGGCAGGGCTCAAACCTTTGCTGGCCATGAAAGCTTGGGAAACTGGACTTTAGTTTTCTCATTGATGAATGGGAAACTCCAATCTGTGCTTTGCTGGGCTGTGGGATGAGAAATGCTAGATACACAGCCAGGGTTGCGCTGTGCTTGGCACCTTGGGTACCTGAGAAATGGTGGTGGAGGTTATTCACTGGGGTTATGGACGTATGGAGAGCCTGGGGAGGACAGAGAAGGCTTCCCAGAAGACGTGGTTCTTGAGTAGTCAAAGGCCGATTCGAGTTCTCCAAGGAGAAATGGAAATGGGAGGAGAAGGAGGAAGGCGGAAGGACTCGTGGGGCCTGGGAGCAGGGAGTGGTGCGGAAAGAGCCCTGACTGGGGCCAGAAGGCCTGGGTTTCTACTCCCACCTCTGCCATCACCGAACTGCGGCATCTAAGGTGAGGCTCTGGTCCTCCCTGGCTCTTTCCTTCCTTGTCTATAAAAGGAAGTGGCTACAGGAGATGAACTCTAACCCTGAAACCCGCAAATCAGTCATAAGAAGAGATTTGCACTCTGGAGAGATCAGGTTTGCCGGGTCTTAGAGAGTGATCCAGGGACATGGGAGGCAGTGAGAAGAGTGCTCAGTGAGACCGATCGGGAGGTGGGTGAGGCAGTTCAGGCAGGAAGAAAGAACCACATCTGGGACCATGAAGACAGTCTTCTGGGGCCACTAAGACGCGGCAGGAGGAACCCAGAGGGACTCCTGTGAACTGTGCCTGGGTTTGACGTGGGTCCCTTCTTTACAGTCAGGTACCCAAGAGGAAGGGAAGCAGGAGGAAGGGGATAATCTTGACTGAGGATCCAGGTGGGGCTGTCAAGGGTGCCCTGGGTCAGTGAGGCTCCCGCTGGGCGATTCACGTGGGGGCAAACAGGGAAGACCACCAAGTCCCTTCTCATCTGAGTGCCCCCAATTCGGTGAGACTGCCACTGTCTAGCACACGGGCTCTGAAGCTGTCATGGATTCCTGTTCTGACGCTGGTCCCTGATGGCGCCTCCCTCTTTCTCAGGACCTGTTCAGCAGGCAGAAGGGCTATCTGGAAGAGGAGCTCGACTACCGGAAGCAAGCCCTTGACCAGGCTTACCTGGTAGGACCAGAAGTGGGTTTGACACTTTGGCTTCCTAGACTCCACATTAGAGGCTGCTTTTCCCTCCGGGGCTGACACTGCATTTAGGGTGCTCCCCAGTGCCAAACAGGAGCGACAACAATGCCACCTCCACCGTGTGGCTGGAATGACTGTACAGATGGTCCCTTTTCCCAAATCAATCGTGATTTTCAAAAACATTCAAAGTTACTTTAATGGTTTTCTTAGACATACTTCTTAGAAATGAATTCTAGTAATCATTTGGGATGAATGGGAAGAACCTCTATTTCTTATATGTTTGATGATACTTAAATAGTCGGACTTAAAGTCCCAAAGCAAGTTTTCCTATAAATAGGAAAAAGAGATGATCACAAAGGAACACAGAGGTAAAGCAATTAGATGAGGCCAGGTGATTTTCAGAACCGAGGGGACGAGGTGTAAGGTCGGATGTAATATCGCATTTGACTTGCAAAATTGGTTCTGTGCATCCTGGTGATTAAAGTACAGTGAGATGATGTTCAGGGTCCTGTGTCCTCACCCTCAAAGCTAAGTGCTCCTGGCACTGAGAGAAATTCTCCTTGGGGGAGGCGGGGAGTTGAGTAAGATCATGGAAACTTGTCTCTGCAGGAGAGAGAATTTAGAGTTCAATGCCGTTCCTTGTAGGAAGAAGCTAGTGTGGTAGAGACTCTTGAGCAAATCTGTGCCCAGATCATTTGCAGTTAAAGTCATTTTACAAAAATGGATTTGCACCTACAAAATGCAGAGCCAATCACTAAAAAAATGACTTTAAAACTCTGCTTCCCATGAGAGGCTCCAGGAAGACAGAGAGCAGGTAGCCTGGGCTTAGCTCAAATGGACAGGAGATTCTAGACGTGAAGGCTGGTGCAACTAGCTCTGACCCTTGGCCCTTCCTGTCTAGGCTGTGAGGCTTGAATCCCTTCAGACTGAGAGCAGGAGATGCAGACGATCAGAATGGACTAAGCCTTATCAAGACACATTTCCCTCTGGGCACACGATGTATCAGCAGTGTTGAGGGCAACTAACGAATGGAGACATTCTCATCTATACCCTGGTCTGTCTCCTGCCTCTCTAATCTTTTAGGTTTTTCCTTGTTTTGGTCCTGGCTTGGTCCTTTTGAAAACACCCTGCAGGATGGGCCATCCCTATCACACATTCCTGTTCTCCCCTAGCGTTTCCCAAAAAACGCCGAGGAATGTGATTGTAGATGGACCCTAGGGCCCTGCGAAGCGTAGCGCAATAGAGTAAGTTGGAAAACTCTGAAGGACCTCTTGGGGTCTTAGTGTGCTAAAGGGTGAGTCGAGGCTCTGAGAGGAATGTAAGCAAGCAGTGTGCCTCTGAGAGGAATGTAAGCAAGCAGTGTGCCAAGTTCACTGGATCATTGGACCTTTTTTCAAAGGACACCTTGCAGAACTGGCATTTCTGAAAACACACTTCGGAACACCTTGGGGTCCACCCTTCCTTTGTCTAAGCACCAACTCAGGGAGGCCTGAGGGATCCCTCAGAGTGCTGAATCTGCAGAAGAGGCCCCTGCATGCTGGTTCTGCCACCATATAGAAGCTACCTTCACACTTGGAGTATTTGAAAGCCTGCCGTGGGCAGTGTGCTCCCAGTGGGATTTCAGTCGCACGGGTAGACAGGAGTTCTGACGCAGCTCTGGACTCTCATGAACAGTCAGGAAGTGAAATGCTCTGAGAGGGTGGCAGGGTCGTGTGTCCATGCTGGGGCCAGGACAGCAGGTGCCAGATGCAAGCCTGTGTCCCTTTGTCACTGAGCTGAGTGAGGTGGGGCAGGCCCGCGACGGGGTTTCCAGAATCAAGTGATGCGTTTCCATCTGGAAACTGGCCACGCGGGGGTCTCCTGGGAGCTTGGCTGCTGAGTAGAGAAGGGGTGAGCCTGCAGGCACCAGCAAGCTCTGCTCCATGTGGAGCCCACCTGGGGGCCCTGCAGCTCTGCCGGGAAACAGATTCCGGTCTTCTAATTCCCCAGGGGCAACCGCTGGGGTGGGCAGAGGTGAAGGTGATCATGTTTGTTGGTTAAAATCAGTCTGGCTCAATGGGCCTGGATCCCAGCAGGGAAAAGTCAGAGGAGACTTGAGAAGCAAGTGGCCTGATAGTGATGGAGGGCTACTGGGTTAACCTCTGCCTCGGTGATGGAGGGCTACTGGGTTAGCCTCTGCCTCGGTGATGGAGGGCTACTGGGTTAACCTC